AATATTTAAAAACATGTCCATACAAATGATAAAAGTATTAGAATTACAACTGCTAATTTTTAAAAAAATTTCAAATCACCATATTTTTTATTTAAAATGTATTCTTTTCTCTTGCTTCGTCCGCCATTACTAGCATAAAAAAGTCTCCAGTCGGGCCGCAATGCATTATGGGATACGCTGGGCCGGGAAGGATCCATCAGACCAGTCCTTCGATTCGGGCCAAAGGAAGGACTATTTGGAAGGACTATTTGAGGTATTTGTCGGCCGCATCGGTGGAGTCTTCGGTTTTGGACGTCCTTCGTCGCAGCGCTGTGACGTATGAGGCCGACAAATTCGGCCTTCGGAGGACCCGGCCTGCCGTTTTGGACACAGCCAATGCGGTCCCGCGGCTCTCTGTGGCCCAAAGTTAAAAACTGTTGTTCTTTTGAGGCCCTCAAGGTGGCGCTCGCGGCCCGTGGATTAAGAATCTCTGGTCTAGTGGCTAGGATTCAGCGCTCTCACTGCTGCAGCCTGGGATCGATTCCCGGTCAGTGAAACAAATGTTGATTTGCCCCATGTTTGTGGGGAAAAATCAATCAAAGCCCAGTAAGATAATCAAGTTAAGAATCGACCAAAAACAAAAGAAAAACTACCTCAGCTCTTGGGATTTAATTCTCATACTTTTTCCACTGCTTCAACAAAAACAACAAACTTTCCTGAACAGGTAAACAAAGTAGACTTTGTTGTTCAAGTCTTTTTTTTACAAAAAATTGCTTAAAAAAACAACATAAAATGAAGGAGTTGTATGTTAAGTTTCTTATAAGAAATCCATCTACAGTGGATTTTTGAAACAAACTAGGTATTTTTATATGTTTGACTTTAGCAAGAACAAATATTGATCCATTGTTTTGAGTTTTTGTTCTTGGGGATCTGTAGTGTTTGGTTGGAGTTAGCTCAACTCCACATTTTGTCAGACTTCAGTCATCGACAAGTTTCACTAAATGATCGTGCGAGTTGTTTCTTACCAAGACTGCAAAGGACTCTTGTGATCTCCTTCAGCAGCAAGTGCACGGCTGTTTAGTTGACAGTGTCCTCCAATCTCACCAGCATGAATAAAGTCCTCTTCATACCTGTAGAGCAAGAGCTGTTAAAATCCAAGTTTCTTATTAATGAAAGTAATCTCTGTAAAACGTTTAATTTTACTGACCTCTTTTGACCTCGGCGCGGTTTCCTCAAATCAAGGTAAAGATTTTTTGCTCTGCAGAATCTAGTATGACTGCTGCATCTTAACGATGAGTCACCCTGGTGGAAAAAAAACAGTATGACAGGAAATAGTTCAGGTTTATTTTAAAGTTTGAGCAACCGTTGTTTCCATGCTATAACATTTCTATGTGACGATTTTTAAAACATAAAATATTTTGAGTCAATTGTCTTAAGACTGGTTTGCAGAACAGCGGGTCTGTTTGTGCCTGCTGTTTCTTCCTGTTGACTCAGGAGGTCCCTGGGAACTCAGGAAATGAGCTGACTTACCGGCTTGCCTGACTTGCAAAGTGTTTTGAGTTGGGAGATTTGCTCTTTGACGTAACCAAAATCAGCCTGTTTCCAGAAAAGTTCCTGAGCTGCATCCAGTGAACGGACCCTAACGGATCACAGATTTAGGCAGATCAGTAAAACAAACAGCATTAAGGGTCATCAGTGAAGCAGAGCACATAAAAGTACATCTAAATTTAGAAAATTGAGACTGTAGTGACAAAATGATAAAATTAAATTAAATATTTAACTCATTATGAAGGACTACTTCAAGAATAGAAAAAAATGTATTAATAGCTGATACAGTGTTCTGTAAATACTGCGAATGAAATGTTTACCATCCGGAGTCAGCTTTAGTACAAACAGGATAGCTGAAGCGTTTTTTTGGATCACAGTTCTTTTCATAGCCCCAACAGACAGACTGACTCTGCAGCGCATCCTGTTGATGACAGGGTTAATCTGTATAAGTATGACTGCTTTTAAAGAAACAAAGGTAAGAAGTGCAGCTGTGGCACAAAAACTATGTTACATTTTAGAAAATTTAGACAAAAAATTGTGAGGGACAAAGCTGTAACACCAACAAAGCTAAGACATTTTTTTCATAGTGAGAATAAAATATAAATGAATGCAACAATAAAAATACAAAACTGAAACAGCCTGAGCATTTGCAAACTAAAGCCTCCAGACCAGCAGGGGGCCCTCATGAGCACTTCAACTCACACAAGGCAGGTAAACAAGTTACAAGTGTCACTGCCCGATCAGTTCCGGAAGCATGATCCATACCATTTGTTTTAAGCATGCAGCATTTCACTAGACTGATGACAGAAATTGTTTCTAATTTCATCACCTGCAATGTTTCATAGAAAAGTTTATATTTGCAACAGATGTGGATTTTTATTCCAGGAAAAAAAATAAAACGAAGAAGAGATGAAAAAAAGTCAGTTTAGGTCCGCAAGTTAATATAAATAAATATGTATACTTCGTAAATCTATGTTTTATTAATCAGAATGTATATAATATTAAAACAGCTTTCAGAATATAATTTTACACACCTTTATAATTAAGTATGGAAATAATTATTTCCAGTATTTTTGTCCAAAATTGAGTGCATTAATCGGTAATCCAGAAGCCTATCATTTAGCCCATGAGCTGATGGTATGGATCAGGCAGTGACAACGAGTATTAGCTGCAGAGGTGGGGACTCGAGTCACATGACTTGGTGTCATGTCAGACTCGAGTCATTAATATTATGACTTTAGACATGACTTGAAAAATGTTCAGAAACTTGTGAATGGACTTGGATTTTTACACCAATGATGAGGGACTTGAACTGGACTTGACCCTGTTTACTTGAAAAGACTTGATATTTGACCCAAAATCAAAAGTTTAAAACACAACATTTATAAAGTGGGACCCATTAATAAATTTCACTTATTCTGTAAACACAGACTGTTCGTCTTTTTTTCACACTATATACATATATGTGTGCATGAGCTGCAGCACAGCAAATCAAAATAATTTACAGTTTAAAGGGGCAATATTAGGGCTGCAACTAACAATTATTTTAATAATCGATTAATCTGTCGATTATTTTTTCGATTAATCGATTAATCGGCCAAGTCATTAAAACGCTTAATTACATGAATATGAGTAGATTAAAAATTTATTTCATTCCTGTATAGATTAGGGATGCAATTTATTGATTAATTAATTAATTTGAAGTTGATTTATCTTATAGATTGACTAAGAATGAATTGATAAGCAGCCATTTTTTTTTAAAACTGGAGTTTTCTCTTGAATCAAGAGGGTATTTCCATAAAATGAAAGACTTTTTTATAATCTCCTGAATTAAAAAACAGAAGCACATCATAAATATTTTAATAATATATTTTGCCAGTTGTATTAAATATCAACTGAAAAAAAGTGTATTTCTCCTACATGAAACATAACAGAAACGTTAAGTTGCTGAATGAGGAAAATAGATTAAAAGAATAAAATTTGATTTTTAGATGTAAAACTGTTATTAATTTAATATAATTAGAATTTATTTACATTTAACATTTATTTTTTCTCTAATTCTTTAATTTTTGCTTCTTTCTTGTTGGTTCTGTCTGACTTCGACCCAGTATAAGTGGTTCTGAGGCAGCCCCCCCCTCCTCCCCTCTCCTCTGCTGAGGCTGACCTGCTGCTCGAGTATTTTTTTATTTTTTTATTTTTTTATTCCTTCATCCGGAACCTTTTTGCTGCTCAACAAATGACTTTGAGCTTCTGTCAGAAAAAAAACTGGAGGGTTTTTATACTTTTGGCCTGAAAGGAGGAGGAAACAAATGGTGGATTTAGCTGCCCCACACACAGCGTGCGTTTCCTCCTCATGACGCGGCTCGCATCAAATCAGACCGTCCTTTAAAAAAATAAATTAATTAAATGTGGCATATATCTTATCTTCGGGTTTACTTGACCTAACAACACGATTTAAAAACTGGTTTAAAGTTCAAAGTCTACTTTTAACTCGAGAGTCAGAATGGATCTTTACAGGTAGGTTTTTTTTTTTTCTAAACTTTATTTAGGTCAGCCAGCATTGACAACGCTCTGTGGGTGATGTAAACGGTTCCGCGACACGGTGAGGCACGCATAAATCGTGCGACACAACAAATCGATAATGAAATTCGTTGCCAACGCTTTTAATAATCGATTTTTATCAATTTTATCAATCCGTTGTTGCAGCCCTAGGCAATATTATGTATTTCTCAGGCATATATTTAAATACTATACCATAATAAAGTGTCTGTCACCTTTAGTTGTTATTAAAATGCTGTTTTTATGTTTAAATAGAAAAATAAACTTCTCTTCTCATCACTTCCTCTTCTAAACGCCTTGAAATTGGCCTCTGTCTCTTTAAGAACCACCTTCCGCTTCTGACTCTTTGTAAACATGACACTAACTCGGTCCCTCCTGTACGACTTTGCTGCAGTTTTATTCCAAAACTGTATAAGATTAAAATGAAGGGTAAAAAATAGTAATCACTGCACTTTTTGTGCAGATGATATGGATTTTAAAACTGAGAGAGTGGTGCTGTGGTGGGTTTAACTAAAAGATGCCTCCATCCCCAAAGAATTAGACTAAAATGCACAGATCTGTTGCTAAAAACATTAATTCAAGACAGGAAAAAAAAGAAAGAAAAAGATACTTTATTTATAAAATAATCCAGCCACATTTATCTCCACTGAACCATCCAACTAGTACCATTAATAACACATCAGATTGAGTTTTTTTTTATTTCTTTAATTTACTCTGTATTGATCCCCTGGTGGGGAAATTAATTCTCTGCATTTTACCCAAGTGTAAGCTACACTCATCTTCTCTAACCTCTGTGCCACACTCCCCAATCACATCATCTCATTTGCAGATGCTATTTATTAAAAAACAAACTTATTAGTTTAACACAGCGATTAGAATATCCAACCCTACTGGTGAAAAAGTGCAAAATAGACAGACAAATCCATCCGTAACTCAAAATACAATAAAACAAATGTTTTAATGTTTCTGAAAAAAGTGTGGGGTAGGGTGTGACTACAAACTGAACAAACATCACATACAATAAACTATATTTTAAAAATAGTCATTACAGGGGGATAAAAAGTCAGTTCCTTACTTTAAAAGGGCAGTGAGGGTCCAGGTGGCATAACTTGGCGACCTTCTTGTTGTTGCTGAGGAAGTAGGGTACGTGCTCTGGCGGCAGGGAGATCCTGCTGTAGTTCAGCAGTGGTGCAGCTGCTGAACTGTTGCTGATCTCAGCTCTGTCAGCGGTGGCTGCAGCAAGACAAACAACCATGCCCAGCGCTACCAGGACCAGCATAGTCAGAGTGACACGGGCACATGAAGCAGCCGCTTCTCTTCGCAGCACCCTGCGAGGAGAGAAGAGGCACAGACTCAGACTCTGCAGCTGAAAGCCCAGCAACACAGAGCAGGAGCATGTGGGCGCACGCAAACGTGTGGGAACGTGGCTCGAGGCAGACGGGATCTCCTCATAAGGATAGGTTTTGTTCCAGGAAATAACACTGACCTTTTTACCAGCTCCTGCCTGAGCAATTCCCACTGAAACTTACAGGATAAAAGGAGCTCCGCTGGCTGGTAATAATGGGACCAACAATAAGCAAGTGGCCAAATAAGCACTGGCATTTATCAGAAAATACACAATACCATGCTTTTAAAGTATTGGGGGAGAAAATATATCATTTTTATTCTCATATAATCTCAACAAGTGATGACTGAACATTGTAGGCAACTTCCTTGAGTAACACAACAATGGTCATCAAACTTTCTGAAGGAAGAAAAAACAGGAAAGTACTTATAATGGAACAATAGGTGGCAAAAGTATGACCACTCATACTTGTTCTCATGGGAAGACTTGTGAAAGGTAAAAGTACTTTTAATGAAGTAGTTACAACTTTAAATTTGAAGAATGGTGCATTATTATTATTTTTTTTGCTACTTTACACTTGCATTCCTCTAGATTTCAGTCAGGATGTTGTTTGTACACAGTATGACTAAAACAAAACTGTTTAATGAGCTCAAACACTGTTTTAGCTTTACTAATATGTTAAAATCAGTCAAAAACTAAACTAAATGTTTTTATTATGATTTCTCTTGTGCATGTTGTTAACTGAGATTTTTGTTTTCCTAATTATCAAGTTTTTAATTCATTATTATCTGGTTATCTTAGGGTTATATANCCTTAACTATACTGATGAAAAAGATTAACGTGGGTATTTTCAGAGGGAATAACGTTACCTGACACTATTTTCCACATAGAAACTCAAAAACTCAATACATTTTATGTTACTGTCAAACTTCAGGGTAGATTTTCGTCATTGACCTAATTATATAAGATTAACATTAAACTTTGCAACCAATCAACAAGCAGGAAGGTTCCGGGGTAACTCGGTCTGCACGGGCAAAACGTATTACTTATCTTCGACGAGAAGTAATGAACGAGAAAATATTTTCTGACGCCGACAAATATCTACAAAGCATTAAACGGTGGAAAACATCGAGTAATACTTCATTACAAAGAAAGAAAGAAAGTCTGCAGATTTAAAATGTGCAGTTCAGGCACAGCGTAAGATTCAGCCAAAAATAACTAGACGGGAAAATGATGGGGCGTTTGCAGGAGCGGAGTTGCATCCGGCGACGGCAAAACTAGCATCACTATTTCACTAAATAAACGTAGAAAGAGTTCGTATGAGAGCAGAGGTTACCTAAAAGCACAGCCTGCCCTCTCACATAGTAACAATGTTGCCGGTGGACGCCATAACACCGGAAATCCCACATATTAACAGGGTGCAGTACCGGCTGACGGCCACCAGGTGGAGCCAAACTTCAATTTATTGAAGACCTGTCTTTACTTTCAAGTTGAAAAAAACTGGTCAAAAGGTTTTACAGCTGCTTCTAGTTTCTTTTATTTCAATGTTATCTATGTAAATAAAAGTATGGCTTTCCTTTTTTGGATAATTTCAACTCAAATTAATTTTAATTATGTATTTCTATAAAATCCTGTTTCTCAGGTGTTGCCCTCTTTGAACAGTTTTAAACTAAGGCAGGCCTTTGCCTAAAACTAACACACTAAAAACTACAGCTGCGTACAGATCCAACACCTATGAGAGTACGGTATCTGTTGACATAACATCCATCCATTTCTTCTTGTGTATTGTGTTGGGACCCCAGAAAGAAGTCTTCATGAAGGTGGAGATTAATGTGTATCCTGTTTAATAATTGTGTATTACCATCTTTAAGATTACATTTACCAAGTAGAAAGTTTTTAAATGTGTTGTTTTTTGTACTTTTTTATAGCAGTGCTGTTTTGTTGCAAGTTCAGTGAAAGTGTAAACATGAAACCTGCTTTCTTACATTTAAATAATCACATTTTCCACCACCTACATACATTTATTCATTTGTATACAGTTTAAAATTAAACAGTCAGGACCTTAGTGACAAACTACTCTCAGTTACACACCACACTTTGTGATTTGTATTGTGATCAGATTACAAACATTACTCTGTACAGTAGTTTCTTTAAATATACATTTCTTGAACTGTTTGGAAAATTAGGAAATAATAAATTTGTACAGTGCTAAAATCCTTCACCCTGTCAGACAGTTTTACACTCTATGCCACAAAGGTTGGATCGTTAACCGTGCTTAAGACTTAAATGCTAATGGAAAAACTGACCATCCTTCATAGTGATTCACTCATGCCCTTATAAATAGATTTATCATGTCAACATTTCTGCTTAAATAAAATGTTTAATAAAGTAAAATTAAATAAAATACAATGATCCAAAAATACTCACAGTGAATAAATCTGAAATTTTTGCCCCAAGTCTTTCTGTGAACACAATTGTGGAGAACAACTGATTTATGTCTTAAAAGGGAAAAAATATAATAAATTCTGCGTGAAAACTAGTTTATTTCTGATTCTTCAGCAATTCATCAATCTGTGTTTTATACATGTTCTTTACATCCTCCAGGTCCAGCCTCAGTTCCTCTGCTTCTTCGGCCTTCTCTCCGTACATCTGCAGAATAGTGTTGTGCCTCTGCTCCAGGTCCTGAAATGTGCAGAAACGTAAATCAGAAACACCTCCCGCAGCTTTACAGCTTTTCAAATGAAAGAATTTAAATTTCCTGCTCTGAATTATTAACATTTAGATTTCTAATTTCCTTGCACCGAATGCTTCTCGTACCTTGAGCTGAACTTTCAGCTTGGGGATTTCCTTCACCTTCTCATCCATTTCATCGTTTTGGTTTGTGAGTCGAACTAGCTCCTCTGCCATCACAGAGCGACTCCTCTCCAAATTGGCAATCTCGAGCTAAGAACACAGGAGGGGAAAAAAGACAAAAGTGAATCTATAAATATCAGTGCCGAACTTGTGACCTGTTCATTTTAGAATTGATTTGAACGTTTTATTGATGACCTATAATGTCCTGAATGGACAGACTGGTGTACATCTGTCTGACCTCCTGTAGCCTTCTGTCCACTCCAGATCCCTTAGATCATTTTTTCTTCTGTACGTTTCATGGCACGTACATTATCTATATTATCTGTATTATTAGTACATTGTATCTCATTCTGCAATTTTTGTGCTAATTTAACAATTCATACATCAAAACGTTCAGCTCCTTCAGGACATTCCGGCTATAAATTCTTGTTTTTCAGCTATTTATACTTTTTTAAACCATTTCACTTTTTTAGCCACATCTTTCCCACTGAAAACGAATGGAGCTGTTTACATTATCCTTAAAATCCTTCAAAATGTTTCTAAACCTTTACAGCACCTTATACCTTTTGTTCTGGTTTGTGCCAGTTTTAGTTTCTTTGCTAATTTTAGCTTTTTTCTCCTATTTCAGCTATAATTCTGCTGCTTTCTGCTATTCTGCTACCTTTTTTACTTTTCTGTGATTCATTCTGCTAATTTGAGCTATTTATGCTTCTTACAGTTGATTTCTGCTATATTCAGCTATTTTCTGCAATTTTAGCTAATATTTAGGTGTTGTTAGCTAAATTTAGCTTTTATAAGCCAATTTGACATTTTGGTGGCTATTTCACATTGCGCTCTACTTAGTTTAGCAAACTTTTGCTGTTTTTACTTTCATATGTTAATTTAAAAAAATACAGCTATACTGTATTTTAGTTGTTTTACTGCATAATTTTTAAGCTATTTTACAACAAACTGTTACTTTTTTGTAGTTTTATGTTTTTTTTCCCTGCTAATTTGACTTTATTAACATCCCTTTCACCATCTGGTGAGCTCAAAACACGTTCGGTGTGAACATAGCATGACTGTTGGCTGGATTTTGTGGACGTGACCAAGTGGCGAATGACAATGCCTCATCATTTGCATACGTTTGGCTCTAAATCACACATGCATGATCCGATTTGCTCCAAACTGGAAATCTATGACCTTTGTTGATCTCTGAAGAGGCCTATAGGATTATATTGGAGTTTGATACAACAGCGCCACCTAGAATAGAAAAACAATTAAAGCTCACTGATACCTCATCCAATCTGCACCAAATTTTGTGTGTTTCATCAGTCACCACTGCTCATGACACCGAGATGACTCAAAACAAACAATGACATGTTGGCGATTTTGAATTTCAGTTTTGAGTTATTTTCAGCCCTCCTAGGCCCCTTTTACAAGGTTATTGATGTTTTTTGGTGGTTTTGAGGGTTTGCCAACCCGTCGGTTATGGTTTTCTTTGTTTGTGTGTTTGTTTGTTTGTTTGTTTTAGGTTGTTTTGAGGAGTTTCCAATCAATCGGTTATGGGTTTTATTTATTTATTTATTTATTTATTTATTTATTTATTTGTTTTCAGTTTTAGCATGTTTTCAAGGGTTTCTAACCAATTGGTTATATTTTTTGTTTGTTTGTTTGTTTGTTTGTTTTTTCAGGTTTTGGTGGTTTTGAATGGTTTCTAACCAATCGGTTATGTATTTTTTTTAATTTTTCATCTTTTAGTGGTTTTGAGTGTTTTTTATGGGTTTCTAACTAATCAGTTATGTTTTTTATTATTATTTTTTTTTCAGTTTTAGCCCATTTTTGATGTGTTTCCAACCAAGCCATCGTGGCTTTTTTTGTTTTGTTTTGTTTTAGTTTGTTGTGACTAGTTTTTGGCCCTCCTAACCCCTTTTTTACATGGTTTTTGGGGGTTATTGGCTGTTTTTGGGGGGTTTTGGCCCTACTACACACCTTTAATGGGGTTTTTGGTGGTTTTGAGGGGTGTTCAACCAATCAGTTGTTTTGTTTTTGTTTTGTTTTTTTTTTGTTTTTTTTTTTTCATTTTTTCTCGTTTTAAGTAGTTCTCAGCCCTCCTAGGCCCGTTTCACATGATTTTTGACGGTTTTCAGTGGTTTTAGGTGGTTTTCAGACCTCCTAGGCCCATTTCACGTGGTTTTTGATGGTTTTTGGTGGTTTTCAGTGATTTTACTGGAAGGTGTGATTGAGGCAGCGTGGTGAAATCAGCCATATGTACTTTAATCTTCTGGAAAATTGGTCGTTCTGGAAATGCAAAATTGGGGTAATGCCAGTTCTCCTGTAGTCGTCACATGGCCAAAGCGGTGCTCAAGCTGCAAGGGCCGCCCACCGCTGCTTGCAGCTTTAATTTCAACTTGTGTCTGCTATCTTTAGCTTGCTTTTATGCTAAATTTAGCTTTTTTCCTGCTTTTTCAGCTATTAGTCAGCTCCTTTCTACTGTTTTCTGCTAATTTAAACTTTTATGCTTCTTTCTGCTTTAAAAAATGAACTTGCATTAACTGTTTTGCTTCTGAACATTTTCAGCTCAGTTTCAGCAGCTTTCAGCAAAAGGCATTCACACAATTGAAGAAATTTATTGGGGTTGTTTACCACTGACTTTTAAAAAGCTCTACACATTTTATAGTCTTTCCTTAGGTGAAACATGATATAGTTTTATAAACCATTGTGTGAACATTTTGGTAATTAAACTGGCGATTTTATGTACAGACTGGTCTGGATGGCTGGACGATAAGAGTAGGAAGTATACAGTAGGTGTCTTGCTCAAGGACACCACAAAACAAGGGTGGCAGGGAGTCAAACCAGTGACTTTCTGGTCCCAAGTCACCTGCCCTACCACTGCACCACAGCCACCTGTACTTTGTTGCTTTCATGTGTAGCACTTTTTCCAACTAGTTTTTTTTAATTGTGCTATATAAACACATTTTGCTTTGATTTGACTGGACAAATATTCTAAAATTCTAAATGAATCACTTGAGTGAAATACCTGCAGCTGAGCTATTTCTCCTTCTCTCAGTTTGAGCTGAGACTGGAGGTTCTCTATGATGCTGGAGCCTCCGGACAATCTGGCTGCCTCATACAGGTTGGTTCCACTCGACATAGACATGGTCATTGTTCCCATTGAGTGGTCAAAAGAGTCATCCTGTGGCAAAATATTTAAAATTTACAGTCATCTTCAGAATATTTTGCTTTTGTATGTTAAAGAATAAACCCCACAAGGAAAGAAGGGTGTACCTGGGACAGAACAGAGGTGTGCAGCCCAGCATTTTCAGCCCCGCTGATGGAGCTCGAGCGGGACAAGGATGGGGTGGAGGATGCTGGGGGCTCGCCAGAGAGTGTCAACGCCTTCCGCTCCTGATTCAAGAAAATTCAAGATAAAGTGAATGAAACAAATTAAAATAGGACAAAAATAATGTTGCTAAACTCTTCTAAACCTTTTCCTTTAGTGCTTCTTGTGCCAAGTAGCATTTCTTCTTCTCCTGCTCCACCTTCATCTTCTCCATCTCAAGCTGGTTGGTCAACAGCAGCTGGTGAAGTGAATACGTGTATGAGCAGGGCTTTCATGCATAACATTACAAGCAAGAAAAAGTATTAAGCTACCTTTTCTTTTTTGGTTTCTTCCTGCATGCGACTGTGCTCTCCTCGCAGATTTATCAACTCAGCATGCTCTCTGTGTTAAAATCATAAGCAATAAAAAACAACATTTAAAAACTGCTTTAAGACTATGTTATTCTCTGTTATACAGCCTTTTCCCTCCACTGCTTTCTCTTTGAGTGAGACATGTGGCTGAATGAGTCTCCTTCTAAGCCGAGAGAATGACTGTTATGTTAACCAGATGATAAAACAAGCTCTTTATTTAAATGAAAGTCTTTCTTTAAAAAAAACATGTATACATGATTAAAAAGGATCAAAACAAGTCGAGCCAGCCAGGAGTCGAACCTAGAATCTTCTGATCCGTAGTCAGACGCGTTATCCATTGCGCCACTGGCCCTGTGAGAAGCCCTGCCTCCACACCACAGTTAAAGCAGTACGACACAGGCCACGTGGCTCAGCACGAGTGTTTCTCACAGGAGGGGGAGGGGCGGGAGTCTGGGGAGGCGCGGAGCGAGCACTGCGGCCTCACCAATGAGCGAGCGCCAGAGAGAGGTTGGGAAGCACTAGAATAACAAAAGCGCTGTGGTTTCCTGAGGCCCTGAGCAAGTTTTATCCATCAGAGGAAACAGACGCCGTTTACTTTCTCTACAAAGTCAGTGGTTGTGCTAAAATCCTGAGCCAGCCCTCACCTTTTTTATATGCAACTTCAAAGTAACTATTAGTTTGCTTTCTTAATTCACAAATGGTTCAGGTCGGTGTCAAGAGGCAAAAAATCCCCATTAGTCTGAAAACAGATTTTCTTATTTTAATTGCTTTTCTATTAAGAATAAATGAAAACTTAATGGAAGAAAACCTTTAAAAAAAACACATTTAAAAAATTAGACCACTATATCACACATTACAGTTTGGCTCAATAAGAATTATAGGGAAAYGAGGGGGGCCTCAAACTTTTAAACTGGATTTTTTACATTAAAAAAAGCACCAGCAGCAGCAAATCTGACTTCATGCTCATAGTTTCTACAAAGAGTTATACTTCAAYACGACGTGAGACAGCGGGTCGGCGAATGTGTCATGTCAAACATCTTTTGTCCTGACCGAGTATAAATGGGCTAAAGACGTGGCGGGCCATAAATCATCTTAAATTCCTTCCTCTGCCCTTTCACAGCTCATATAAGTATATAAACAACGATAATGATAGCTGGATATGGTGGGTTTTTTCCCCTCATTGATCAGTGTTGTGTTGGGTGAAGAGTGTATTTTTTTTTTTTTTTTGTTAAAGGTGGTGATGGAAAAAAGACGTGAACGTCAGCTGCACGCTCATGTTCAACAGCATCAAACAATCACATGCTCCGAGCTGTAAGGTCCGTGTCGCAGAGTTTTGACTGGGGGCGATGTACTCGACGGCTGTCACCAGGAGAGCAGACAGAAGTTATACAATTTCTTGTCACTCRGCAGRGGGAACAAGATGTRTTAAGTATAARCCAGCCTTTATTCTGAAGTGGAACATCTACTCAAACATTTTGGAGGGAAATAAATTACGAAAAAATGTTATAGTTTCTGACATAAAACAAATATAACTCGAAAAATTAAGCAAAGCTGAAACACAGGTCACGCCAGCAAGTGACAATGTGAAGAAAAATGCTAATTATGTWAAATATTTTTTAACTTTATCTCACAAGACCCTTTAAAAAGTCATATAAAATATATTAACCACTGATTCATTAAAGGACTTATAAGAAAAAAAAAMCAATTTATACTGTTAATGCATCTTGATCATCTCTACGTATTTACTGTTTCTATCCTATAGCTTTAAAACAAAACACTTGAGAGAACACGGATGGTGGGTGTGAATTATCACTAAACCTCGTAGACTTGACTTTTACAGTTTGCTGCTTACCTGCTGCTGTCATCCTCCAGTTTCTCTCTCTTGTTTTTTTCAGCCTCCAGCTGTGCCACAACTCTGGCCTTTTCCTGGCGGAGCAAAGAATTCTGGGAGTCCAGAGAGGCCAGCTGAGACTTGATGGATAAGAGTTCCTCTGTTGCTGATCGCTCTTTCTCCACGGCGACAGCCAGCTGCACCTGGGCCTCCGCTGTCGAGAAAACAGCAAAATATTTTAAGTTAATAATTTTATGAGTGATGTCAGACTAAGAGGAGTTCCAGAAACTCACCGAGGCGGTCAGAGAAGGACTTCTCCAGTTTTTCCCAGGATGCAGTTTGTCCACCCAGCGAGGCCTGTAAGTTCTCAATTTGTCTCAGTAATGGCCGTGTAGCGGAGGTGACACTCTGGCTGAGCTCCTGGTTCCTGGTCTCTGCCTCCTGCAGTCTCTGGAAGGCAAGAGAAATGCATTTTACAGTCAAAACYGTAAAAAGCTCATTTACACACATTATATCGAGCATTGTATTACCTGCTGAAGCTCACTGATCTCTTCCCGCAAATAATCTTCTTTTCTTGCCTGCTGTTGCTCAGCCCTCTGCAGGGCAAGCCTCAGGTCAGCCACCTGCACACAGGGACACAAAATAATAAGTTTAACTACATAAGAAAAAGGTTTAAGTTCTACACAATGTTTATTACAATCAAAGTTGGATACTGAGTTTTTGAAAAGGACAATTAACTTAATATTTTGCTTGTGTGTGCATAAGCAAAATATTAAAAACAGTTTATATCTGATCAAAAAGTGTCAATAAATGTCAGAGCAACTTATTGTGTAAAACACACTATGGCTACATTCATACAGCAGGCAAACGTAACCTATATTAGATCGTTTTGTGACCGTCTGAATGTGACAAATCCATTGTTTGTTTTTTTTAATCCAACTCAGGTATTTCTTTATATGTGGTACTAAATCTGATAAATTTAGGATGTTTTTCAAAGTGACAGCAGTCTGCACAATCAGGTCTCATCGCATCCGACTTTTACATCACTGAGGTAGAGGTATATGGATCTAAAGGATATTTTGTGTATTATTAACTGAATTTACGATACAGTTTTGTATTTTCACTTTGTTACATAGTTTAAAAAAAGGAAGAGAGTCGGTGTGTCTTATCAATATGAGGCCGTTTTGTCTGTATAATCAAAGTTGGTTACGTTATAATGTGTGACGTAAAAGATACCGCCTCCAGGGGTGTTACCAGGAAGTCAGATGTATAGGTTACTTTCAGAAGGTGATTCATTTCATCAYTGTGTTCTTCCTTTAAAGCAGCCTGGGACAGACGCTGCTATAACAATCTCTTCCAGCAGGAAGAGATTGTTATAGTTTTGATAAGAACCAAGGCCTTTTTCCACTCTCAGGCCTGCTGCGGGCTGCCCGTTGGCCTTAATGGAGCCAGATTTTTGAATAAAGCCTTTTTAGAAAAGAATCAGCTGGTTTTCTGTGAACTTATTCCCACTTTGAATTTATGGAACACAATTTCCCTACAGGTTCTAGATCCAGATACTAATATTGATACCAACATCACGCAGTTTAAAGATTGGAACATGAGCAGGGTGACTGAGAATGTACATCAACATAGAAAACAAATGCTGCAATAGTAATGTATTATGTGTTGGATCAATACTAGCATGGTGGGACTGATACTGGAGTTTGTTTCTATTTCTGCACATGAGAAAGCAGGAAGCTGCAAGATCAAGACTGTTTTTCAATTCAGGGGTTGCAGCCTACTTAGTACGCATTTGTAGTCTGGTTACGCCACTGTGCTGTGCTATGGTCTACGTAGGCTGTTAATGGAAAGACAGCCCAAATGCAAATACGAGATCAAACAAGAATGTCAGATAATTTACTCAGCTCTCATTACACAACAACTTTAGAATGAATCCACACACTCTAACATGTATAGCATCTGTATTTACTTCTATAAACACAGCAAGCGCCATGTGACGTCTTCACACCGTAGTCTGATGGGAGTTTGAATTTAAATTATGACGTGATTGACCACACACACAAAAAAAAAAGCATTAGGACCTGCAGTGTGAGCGTAGCCTGTGAAACCAATAGGTTTAGAGGGGTGTGTGTGATATTTTGAACTTGGCAGTCATCTGTGTTACCTGGTTGGCCAGTGCCTCCTGCTGAATCCTCGCCTCCTCCTGAGCCTTCTCCAGAGCGACACTCAACAGCTCCTTGGCCTGAGTTTCTCTGCTCAGAGCTGCCTCCTCGGCCTCGCTGGCTCTGCTGGCGTTCACCTTGTGAAGCTCTGCCAGCTCCCTGACAACAGAGACGCAAAAAAAAAAAAAAAACCTCCATCATCACGGCAAACCTCTTACATAAACACGTCACCATCTGGTGTTTTTTTCTCCTGTGCATGTGGACAACAAAATATGTTTTGAAACATTTTACAGACTATACATGGCTCTTAATATTTGTTACATAAAATTCAGACATATTTTTTATATATTAATTATTAGCCCTTTAAAAATGGTAAAGCAAACAAAAAAGTCTGACAATCTACACAAGTCAAGTTGTTTATTGATAATACACATTTTGTTTAGGAAATATAGGATCCCCGACTAAAAACAACAAAAGCTTTTTAAGAATATGTAATAAAAAAAATTAAAAAGGTTTAATGGCTCAAACTGTTCCTGGCATGATGAGCAGGATCCAGTACAGCAGCTGTACACTGTACAGTAGTACTGACCAACAAAATCTTCTCCTTTTAGTCAGTCCAAAAAACACTACTTTTACTTCTACCATTTACATTTTTCCTTGACAGATTATTTTTAAAGCACCCCTCAGTTATCAACTCATTTGACATATTCTATTAAAAAAAGTCTATTTTTGATTCTTCACTTTTTTGGGGAGAAAACATTCTTACTCTTTACCTTTAAAATTTTCAGCAGGCATCTATGCACCAACACTTTTATAATCAATTATTAAAAAAKAAATAAAGTTAAAAGCCAAAGAGATGCCCGGTAACTCCAGTCAAGCTTCGCTGACAATTCTACAGAAATTCTTTGCTACACTTTGTTTGGAGCAGGACAGACACAAATGATTGCTCCAAGATATTCCTCAGCTCTTAGYAGAGATCCAGAATAATCATTAACAGGAGACTACAGCACAGCCTGTCAYCAGCTACTGAAGTATATCTCTGAGGTCCTCAATCCTGGTTCTTGAGATCCACTCTCCTGCATGTTTTGGTTTTTTTCCTGCTCTTCAGCAGATCTTCGAATTCTGCAGAAGTCCATTAATAATTTATTTATTGTAGCATCTTAAACATGCAAGACAGTAGCCCTTGAGGACCAGGATTGGTGTAGTTTGTTGCAATGATGCTGCAGCTGAAAGGCTCCAAATCAAAGTTTGCAATTGGCTTGAAAATKTTTAGTCACTTTATTTAATAATGTGAGTAAATGATCCAGACTATGAATCAGTCATAAATAAGCAACATGAAAACCAGTGTGTATGAATGTATGCTATTTGTGCTGAAGGATCACGTCAGTCTCTATGCTCTGACAGCCWGAGTCTTAGGAGCTCTGGTTGTCAGTATTCAGTGCCAGCTGCTGACTGTTGTAATATTTACTTGTAAGAGTTGTCGAGGGCAGCTTGAAGGCTTCGGTTTTTCTCCTGCAGCTCGTCCGTGTCCACCTGCAGCCGGCTCAGCTCCTTCTCCTGCTGCTCCACCACGGAGTTCAGTTTCCTGATGTTCTCCCTGTGCTGCTTCTCCACCTCCTCCTTCCCATCTAAAACCTAAACAGTAAACATAATTTAGGCCAGAAACATTTGACTGTAGATAATAATAATAAGGGAACATTTAAAACAAAAACATAAATTAGTGACTTGAAATGAAAGAATAAATTAACAATTATTAACCACAGCCTGTTTATAACAGACAAAAGAGAACAGAAAACACTTGACAATGACATGAAAACCTCTCTACCCAGGCATTAGTCATATCAGATGTTATATTAAGTTCTGACCAGCTGCAGGTGCTTAAGCTCTTCCTCTTGCTCTTTGATTTTCTTCTGCTGTTTTATGATCTTTCCGTCGCTCTCCTTCTCCTTCACACGCAGTTTCTTGATGATGTTACTCTGCTGCAGCTGCTGTTTTGACAGCTTTTCACCTGAAAGACAAAAATYAATGGCGGATGCTGAGGCCATTCATATGCTGTTGTTCACATTAAATTTTCTGTTTTGCAATTTGCTGACATATTTTGCAATCTATTTATCTAAAAAGTTGTTTGAATATGTATTGGCACTTCATACAGTGTATTCTGTTGGCTTCTGCATACTTTAAAATTAATATCACGGGTTTTAATGTGACATTAAGTAACCCACATATTCCTGTATGAAGGATTTGTTTAAATGAGGCTCTTTGAATGTAATTTCCAAATGTAGTGTCATGATAAGATGCTTCCTCTCTCTTCAACGGTATGTTGAGCAGATTAATGAGATAAATTTCCACAAAAGTTTAAACATCTTTGTGTCACTTAAAATAAGAACAATTTGGACATCAACAACTGTGCAGTTTCTGTAAGCAGGTGGGGCTCAAGAAAAACGAGTCTTACCTTCTTCCAGCAAACCTCTGATCTGCTCTTCTTTATCTCTGATGAGCTCCATTGTATCGCTGGAGTTCAGTCTCGTAGAAAGCTCTTCTCGCAATCCTTTTATTTCCTGTAGCACCGAATGAAAACTACAGTTACAACCTCTAATTATCTGTAGTTTTGAATTTCCCTCTGGGATCAAATAAAAACTTTCGATCTAGTAAATTAGTCTTATAAGAAATAAAGACGGCGCCGAATAGAACCCCAGTAATAGAGTTACCTTCTTGGCTATGTCTCGCTCCTTGCAGGCCAGCTGAGCCTTCCTTTCTGTATCTGCTATGCGTTGTGTGAACTCATCCTTTAAGGACTGCACAGTGGAGCTCTCTTCCTTCAAATTTATTAACTCGCTGAAGAACAAACAGTCATTAGTGTTGGATTTTTTTTTAGCAATAGCGAAGTGAACATTCATTTAAATATATGCACAATTTTTTTTAGAAGTTTTTAAACAATGAGACATTTACAGTGGTCTGGTATACTGTTTTATAAATGAACTAATTAATTTTGTTATAGTTTGTTGGATAATTTAAAGCCCTTTTTGGCATTTTATTATTTGACTTGAATATCAATAAAAGCAGCTGTGTTCTTATGAGAAGTTACAAAGTCTTTGTGAGCTAGATGTGTGAGACGTATACTCACTCCTTCAAGTTGTCGCACTCCTCCTCCAACTTGGCCTTGTCTTTGCTCACTGCCAGCAGCTGAGACTCCCTTTTCTCAAGACGACTTGACAAGTCATCAATGACCTAAAGTATAGTAATAAGAATTTAAGGCTTTGTAGAAAGTATGTGAAAAAAACAGGATCATAAATTAACACGCCTGTCTTGGAAAAAAATAATAAGTTATATGACGTAAATATATGGCACGACCTGAAATTTTTGGATTGCTTTTTGATATAAGGAAAAAAACATGCTATCATCACTGGCTGGCCTGATTTCTAAAGATCAGCATCAGCTAAAGATAAACTTGCATCATCCGATCTCTAATACAGCAACTTATTTTACGTTGTGCTTTTGTTTACAAAATGCTATAAACATTTATAGAAAATGTGTTGCTTACGTTTTCTACTTAATTATATTGCTTTAATCAGACCCAACAAAGCTTTTGAAACTTTAGCACACAAAATAAGACCGCTACATTGACTCATGATCAAAAGAACCCTAAACCCTCTTGTCAAAGTAAACAAATAATAAACACAAATGTTAAGCACATGATCACATGCTCAATAAACAGACCTACACAGCAGAAACTAGAAGCTACAATTCTACTTTAAAAGTTACCTTTTGAAACTCTAATATCTGAACAGTTGAGACACTTTTCATCTCTTCTGTGATTGGTGGAGCACTCCTTTCTTCAGCCTTACAGGTGGAATCAAACTGCGAGACGTCATCTCCCAGTTCGGCCAGCTCCTCAGGCTGCTCACTGTTCACAGGTGTCGCACTCCGTCCGCTTTCCTCCATCTCATCCAGCGACTGCTTCCTCGCCGTCTCAACGTAGACCTCCTCTTCATCTTCCTCCTCCTCCTCTTCCCCCACCTTCTCTGCCGCCACATCCTCCTGCTTCGGACACGACGCCGTCAAAGAGGCGGGGCCCGCGGCGGTGACGGAAGCCAGAGTCTGACTGCCAGGGATCTCGTCGTCCGAGTTGACCTCGCTGACGCTCCGGCTGTCCAGCGACTGCACGCTGAACGAGTCGATGCGCTCGAACGCGTCCGAGGAGGAACCGCAGCTCTCCGTGAGTTTGGGGTAATCCTCGAGTCGGGGGAAATCTCCACAGGTGGAGGCGGTGAGAAGCTGGAAGGAGCCCTGCATCAAATGAAGGCCGGTTTTGCCCTCGCCCGTTTCTTGTCGAGAGCTGGCCGAGCTCTCGCTCAACACACTTTCATGGTCAAGCACTTCAATGTCACTAGTGGTGGAGGTTCCTGAGGAGAAAGCACTAACTGGAGGGGAGGGTGTGTCGTTTTGACGATCCTCCGCCTTCGTGTCTTTATGAGCGGAAAGTACTTCCTTGGAGGATGTGGAGGGCGAGGGATCTGAAGGGGTACAGCTCTTTGCGTCAGGAGGAGACGGTTCAGGAGAACTTGCGGTATCCTCTGGTTGGTGTTCAGATGTGTCTGGCTGCTCCGTCTTCGATTCCACAGAAACTGAAGAGTCATTGTCTGTCTCACCAGAGCTCAGTTTACTGTCAGGGTTAAAAGGGAGATCACTGGGAGAAGAAACGGGAGAAACCGGATGGAGGAGAATAGTGTCAGCACAAGACGGTGCAGGGGATGATTTGGTCTCATCGGGCTCCTTCTCAGCAACTATCTGGTTCTCAGAACTCGCGTCAGCATTTTCCACTGGCCCTTCACTCTGCGCATCTGTTTGGACCTGAAGCACAGCCGTTTCACTTGTCTTCTCCTTCTCCTGAGGCCGTCTTTGAGACTTAGCAGGGGGTACTGACACAACCTTACTTTGGGTCGCAGTTTGTGTATCTCCAGGAGACAGGAAGGCACTGAAAAAGTTATCGGTTTCATCTACAACAGTGCGAGTGACAGGCGTAGTAATGGCCTCTGACGAAGCAGGAGGTGTGATGGTCTTTTCTTCAGCAGGTGCCTCCCACTGCATCATACCCCATCCTCCACTGACTGAAAGCTTGCCGGGTACAGTAACATCTGAAGAAAAACAGACATGTTGTTTCTCACATTGTACCTGAAGTTGATGCTACCACTATTTGCTTACCGTCATAGGGCATTATAGTTGTGTCACCCCACTGGTCCTCCTCTTTGATGTCCAGAACACGGTCAATTGACTTCTGGGCTGTTGTTAAAGCTTGTTTAGCGAAGGTGGACAGGTGAGAAGCGTTGAACCAACTCATCCTGAAGCTAAGCTAGTTGTTAGCAATAAGAATAGTTGACTTTAACGATTACAGCGTTGGCACTTAACCACTCTCCGCATGTTATTAACAATAGACAATAACCTGTTGGCATAAGTCAAAATTGGTTCTGCCTTGTGAAACTCTGTGGGCGGTGAGCTCCAGCAAAACTTGTTTAAAAGGCTGGGAAAAGTCGTTTGTCACTCTGATAGTCAGATAGTTTTCATCTGGTAAACAGACAATTTATAGATTCTCAYTAAAAGTCAGACAGTATAAGATGCATCAGTAAATATAAAAAACCAATAACTCTACGACAACTGTCAAATGAAGTCAATTCCCACGATTAATCCGGGCTTTTCAGCTCCTCTGCTCGGCCGTCATGGTTTGTTTTGGTCGCTCTTGACTCGCAGCCCTGCTAGCATTAGCCTGTTCGCTACTTCCTTTCCACGTAGCACCCTGACGTCAAGATTCCGGGTTTGGTCAAATGTTGCCTTCGAGTAAAGTTGGACATTTGTACTTTTCCCTTCGCTTTTTCTCAGAAAAAAAAATTCAACACAGTTGTACGTTTCTCTTTAATACAAATACGTATAAAATTCAAATAAAAAATATCGAACATGACGATTTGATCAATTAAAATACACTTTTAAAAAATAATTTCGGCTAATACCAAACATCTGATGCACTTGAAGGCAGCACGAAAAGAGGAGCAGGTAGTGTTACAGGTAGGGGCGCAGCAAATCATTATTCCAAAAACYTGATACAATTATTGAATTAGTTTAACGTAATTGCAAAAATTCTRTATTTATATTAATAAAAAATAAATACAATTTTAATCAAGAAAATAAAAATAACTGAATGGTCCAAGTTTGTCCTAAAACAAAAATTCCATGAAAACGGTCCTCATCATTTTTCACAAGCATATGCTTGTAGCCCCTCTATATAAGTGTAATAAAAATGACACAAAAACACCATAGAAAACCATTTTATTCCAGTTCACACTTTGACAAAACAGCAACCTAAAAATCTGCAAGTAAATAAATAAATATGCTAATTTAGAACAATATAATAATATTTTAAAGAAAACCCTTTTGTTGTTTCTCATTTGCACAGGACACATTRCAATGTAACGAGCACAAGATATTTACACAAAAATTAGGCATTTGCAAATAATCATCAAAATATGACAAGGTATCACCAATAGTTTGGCTTTTCAGTGCAAAACATCGACTTCTGTCAATAATGACATTAAACCAGTCGAACTAGTTATATTGATTATTGATTGATAGTGTGATTGAATAAGCAGTAAACTGTTCTAATTATGAGGTAAAGCAAAGTCTGAACAACATGGTTTGGGGTGTGGTGACATCCGCTACAGCCAGTTCCTGTCCATCAGTCAGCCCCAACTCTAAAAAAAAAAAAAGAAAAGAAAAAGAAAAACACATCAACATCAGCGAATATGCAAAAGTGATCTGGGCAGTTATATAAAGATTATGCAGAAATGTAAACAAAAACCTCACCTTTTAAAGTTTTGGACAGATTTGCTCGTGTCCGCTGTTCAATTGATGCAACAGACTGTCAAATGAAAAATACTTCAGATTTGTAAATTTGCCAAGTTAGACTTTTTGCATAAAAAAGAACAAAACAAATAGGACTTTACCTGTAAATATAAAGTTTTGCTTTTTCCTTCAACTGTTGCTGTTAAAGCAGGTGATTTCATCTGTCTGGAAAACAAAATAAATAAATATATATATAATGCGATGTCAAAAACGAAMGTATGCCCATAATCCTAATGAGGGTGGTTATGTCTGGCAGAGAAACATACAAAGAGGCGCTCTCAGTCAGGTAGTCCAACACCTCCTGGAGTTTGGAAGATGGAGGAATGTGCAGATCCAGAGGAACTTGGCTGCAGGCTGAGCAGTTTTCCTACACCARTAAATGAAACAGATACAACTCAGCCTCTGCATCATGTGTGAACTGGTGTCGAGAWGTCAAAAACAAACCTTTCGTTCCGCCTCAAAAGTGTAGGTGTACAGGCCATCTGCATCATTGAACACCATGTGGTTACTGAGAGGCACATAGGCACTGCACAAAAACAGGTTGCATCATGAGAAATGGTAAGAGAAACAAAATGYTAATAAGTGCAATTTTGTGGACAAGGCAGCGGAAAAGATTTAAAGCTCACCTTGTTGCTAATTTGAAAACCTCAGTTACACAAGCAGCTGGGGTGAATAAAACACAGAAAAACATTGGCACGTGTGCGTCTAATCAGTACCTTTTAGAAATGATTAACTCAAATAGGATCTTTGGTCCTACTTACCAGCAATGACAGCGTTTGTGGATGCTACAGCTGGGATTATCCTCTTGACCACTCCTGCGATGGTCAAAGAAAATATGTTTTGTTCACTCATTAACATTAAAGTGAGATAAACAGAAACAAAATAAAGGGGAAGAAATAAAATTAAAGTTAATTAAAGTATACATCAGGAAAACATGCTGCAAATTTAACTTTTTTTTTTCCACRAATAAAAGTTTGACTGGCGCAGAACAGAATMAAATTATCCACAGTGAGTCATATAGCAACAGTTTGTTATTTACTTTATATACCTTGGGACGTTTTCCAGAGGAACAGTATAAAAACTCCAGTAGGTGGAAACAGACAAGCTTTTCATGCTCACCCTGCGTTAGTCTATAAGTGACTCCTGTTATGTTGAACTCTGCTGCCCTCTCCAGAGATCTCTGGAACACCCACTGGATGTGCTCTGGGTCATCTCCATCCAGGGCAACACCATCTAATCAAGAGTTCCCACAAACAAACAAAAAAATAACTCATACCAAAGCATCAATAAAAAAAGTGAAGGTAGTGTGCCCTTTACCTCCAAACGGCAGCTCTTTAGGCCACTGCAGCACTCGCACGTATTCAACGCAATGCTCAGGCAAGCGAGGCATCGACGCTATTGTGCACATAGGGAAGTTGATCTATAAAAACAGGTGGATCTTAAATTTTAAAAATTGCAATCTATAGAAAATACGTTTTATAGCGAGATGTGCTGACTTACCTGAGGAGGATACAGCTCCAGCGTGCAGTCAACGCAGGCAGTCATGCCAGGGAGAATGACCCTGGCATTGCCTTTAAAGCCTTCGGTCCCACCGTCAACAAGCGGAATGATGGAGGTCTGATCCAGTTCACCATCCTCGTACACCAGCAAAGAAAGCTGCACAGGGAAAAAAAACAGATGGTTGAACCTTTAGCCACAAAGTTAATTTGTTGGTAATTAATTGCAATGATGTGACTGAAACAAAGATTTCAGTGAAACAAAAACTCACCAGCATACCATTTATCCACCGCCGGGCAACAATGGAGTCGAGTCCGCAGACAATAATATGGAATTCTAGTTGTAGAGAAAGTGATACGTGAATTTATTTTAAGTTGAAGGATAGAGTGAAACATCTATTGAGAAAAGCCACCATTAACAGCAGAATTCACTAAATCCCATCAAACCTTAAAAATCTATTTAAAAGTGAGAATGTCTCTTCCAGCTTCCTCCCACTCCATGTTGTTCTTTATTGTAGATTTTATTTTYTAAAAGTAACTTCTGAATAGGGCTGTGCATAAAAATCGATATACATGTATATCGATATTTTTTTATAAAACTATTGTATCGATTTTCATTTTTTAATATTGATACATCCCCCAACCTTTAGGGGGCAGTATAATGAGGCATGATTCCTGTTTAGAGCAAAAAACACAAAGCTGCAASAGCCTATATGCCACAGCCTTAGTGACGTACTTCCGTTAAAATTCAGGCCATGAGCATCACTTCCAGGTCCTGCCTACTGCACRTTGTTTTTAGCGTTAGCTCCTGGAACTAGACCATAAAAAAGTCACAAAAGTTATTGCATCTGCGAGCTACTGGAACAAAAGTGAGTTCTGTTGTGTGCCGTTGTGTCCACTAACCAGTAGGTACGCTAAAGTAGTTAGTTTTTCTCCATATTCCTCTTGATGAGGAGTAAAGGGAACAACAATGGATCGTGGCTATCTGCAGGGAAACTTAGCTAAAGCTCACATTCACGTTTAAAATCAGCATTTAAAACCTGAGGATATTCAAGAGCCAGCGTCAGAATTGAAAAGGCGGAGATTAAAAGTGGGAGCTGTACAATTACCCTTTTCATTGCCAAGACCCGAGAGAGCAAAGACCACCTCCAGAAGACAGCTAGGAGGAAGCTAACACAACAGCCAGTGTATAGACTAGACGTTCGGATCACGATTATGCCGCTACTCCAGACTCTGCAGTTGTGGATTTAGTGCTGGAGGTAAACGATATTATCCGGGAGGAAATCCGCCAACTACGGGAACAGTTTGAGAGCCTGACGCTGAGAAAGCTGTTCGGCATTCACTGTTTTGCTGCTTCCAACAAGAACATTAGATTCCTCGCAAGGTAGGTGTGGTTGTGTGTGTGTGTGTGTGTGTGTGTGTGTGTGTGTG